TTGGAAACAGCCCCTAAACTTTTGAGGAAAATCGAGGATTTGTGTTTTTAATGCAAGACACACACACACACACACACACACACACACATGTGTGTGTATTCTTGTGAGAACGGGCAATTAGAATTTCATTTTATAATGTGTGCCAGTATGTTCACAGAAAAAAGTGACAATAAAAGTTATCGTATAAGCAGATCATGTAAGGTGGCTGGTAGCAGGTCCTCTGGAAATTGGTAAAAGACTTTCTGACTTTCAGATGGTGTCAAAAACACATTTGTGTGGGCGCCTGTCAGATTTCAAACTTGTCATGGCTCTGAATCTCTTTTAGAAATTTAACTTTGCATTCAAGAATTAGGTAAGGGCAGAATCTTCACAGGCTCAGCACAGTGAGATGAATTGCAAGAAGAAAACCCTACAGACACAGAAGATCTGATCACTGCAGAAAATAGAATTTGTACTCTTATGTATGTGCCGGCCCCAGCCTTTACATCCTAGGCCTTTTCAAGTTAATGGTAATTTGTTTCCCAGCCTTGAGATTGAGGAGCAACCTTTCAGTGTTTACACTAGTGATGGCGAACCTTTTAGAGACCGAATGCCCAAAAACTGGTCCTGCCCCTGCTCCACCCTCTGCCCCACCTGCCCGCAGGGCCACTCACTGCCTCCAGAGACTGCCACAGATCACCCAGGCAGCACCATGGCAGCCATGCCCTCTGTCCACGCCCCACAGCATCAACTGTGCGTGATGGGGCATGAGGGCAGAGTCTTTTCTACGCTGCCTGGCTGCCATGTCCTTGGCTGCGCTGCTCCGTGTGGGCCACGCTCGGGGGAGACTCTCCTCCAGGGGGGCTGCTGGGGAGAGGGGTGTGGGGGGAGGCGGGGCTGGGGCAACGGCACGTGTGCCCACAGAGAGGGCTCCAAGTGCTGCCTCTGGCACGCGTGCCATAGGTTCACCACCACTGGTCTACTCAATGGTTCTGTCTGGTCTGAAATGTGCTAGCTCCTGCTTCACTGGCTCATAGATCATTAGTCTTTGAAGGGAGCCCTTCAATAAAAGAATGATAAACATACTCCTATATTATGTAACATAGTTAGCTTACTATCACCACAGACAGGAGTATTGGCCAGTAATTGATCCAAAATGTTTATAAAGCCAAGAAATAGGCTTGAAGGCTTTCTGGCATCTTAAAGTCAACAGCATCTGTCATACCATCTATATCAGTGGACCTCAACCTTTGCGGTCTGGTGGCCTGGCTGGGGGGAGGGCAGAGGGGAACTGGGCTGCACGAGCGGCAGGCTACTTGTGTGAATGGAGCTGTATGTGGGTGTTGGCCTGCCTCTCGCGCAACCCAGTTCCGAATAGACCATGGCCAGATAATGGTCTGGGGCCTGGGGACCCCAGATCTGTCTTTCAGGCTATTACCTTGTGATCCAAGGTGCCTAATCTGTGTTGCATTGTATATACACTGTATATCAGACCATCTTTCTTTTCCGAGTGGTAGGGCTAGAAGTACTTTGCAACTGAGGAAGCTTTTTTTTTTTTTTCTCCCTGGGTTAGTATTTGGAACATATCTGACAATATCCATTCTTTGCAAGCCTGGTCTAGTTATAAAATTAAAAAAAACAGACATACAAATTATTTTTTTAAAAAAGATCACACCAGTTGAACTGGAGAATAAAATGTTTCATGGCATTCACTAGACCAGGGAGAGGCAACCTTGGCTCTTATATGACTCATGGACTTCAACTCCCAGAATTCCTGAGCCAGCATAGCTGGGAGTTGAAGTCCACGAATCATAAAAGAGCCAAGGTTGCCTACCCCTGCACCAGACAATTAGTGGGCTTTTCTGAATTTCAGTTACAAATTTCACTATCTGACAGACAGTATCTTCTGCCTCACCCAAGCTCTCGTTAGGAGCTATGCACTATATCAGCAGGTGACAGAACTGAATTCTAACATCCGTGTGATTGCCCAGAGTATATTAATTTGAAGACACACTTCTGTCCAAACCATTTTATTGCTGTATTTTATAAGCTAACAAAAGGTTAAGAGTATTAATATTTCATTAGTTGCGGTCCGGCGAGCATGAGTGATTGTTCAAGTGAATTTTGAAAAGAATATGAAACAAGGTGAGATTCCTCATGATTATAAATTGAAAAACCTATATTGATATTTTTTTTACAAGGGGAACTCACCATAATGGGAAGTGCCAATAATCTAAATATCTGACACCACCACATCATTTTAGCCAGTCATGGAATGTAAGTCCATTTATGCCTAGATGAGTTAAGGACATGCATTTCACAACAAAGCAGTTAATCAACAAGGCATGGCAAGAACCTGTGTCTTCTTTTTATTCACTACACAAGTGTGGGAGAAGCTAGAACTTGTTCTGCTCCAGCCAGACCTTGACATTCTCTAAGCACCAAGAAAGACCATCAACAACATACCTCTTGCAGCCAAGGTCCATGTGGCTCATTAGCTCATCTAGGATACTAGATACTAGATTTTGATCACATGATTACGGGGATGCTACAACAGTCATGTGAAAAGCAGTCGTAAGTCGTTTTTTTCAGTGTTGTAGTAACTTCAAATAGTCACTAAATGAATGATTGCAAGTTGACTACCTGTACCTCTATTTTATTGTCCCACATGGTCCCAAACTTCAGAAGAGCTTTTACTTTTGCTCGCTGTGATGTGCTCCCCTCTACCCTCTCAGGTGAATGGGAAATTGGTCATGTGTTGCTGCATTGTTCTTTTTAATAGAAATCTATGAGAGATGTGCATTTCCCCATGTATATAACCCAATACCTGGGCAGTCTGGTGGATGGTTACCGTAATCCAAGGGTAGGCAACCTTGGCTCTTTTATGACTCGTGGACCTCAACTCCCAGAATTCCTGAGCCACTGGGAGTTGAAGTCCACGAGTCATAAAAGAGCCAAGGTTGCCTACCCCTACCCTAGTCTCTTGCCTGCAACTTGTTTGGAAAAAACCCAGCAGGCAGGGTTTTTTTTTTTCCAGACAACATAGACCAGTTCAATGTCAGAGCTATGATTAAACGTGAACAATTCATCCATGTGATGTGACGCTGAGTCTTAACTAGACTTCTATAACTCAGTCAATTTTCTTTCTTTCGCTCCCTTTCTTTCCTTCCCACTTTATATCTCTTTTTCTTTTATACATACGTATATTATTCGATGTTGTATTTTGCTATTTCTTTGTCATAAACTAGCTGGACTTAATCCCAACAAACCTTGAGGAAGTTATTAGATTTCAAAAAGCTTGGCATAATTCGCCATTCTCGTAGTGTTTTAGAAATTCTAGTACCGGCACCAGTTGTGTCCCTTTACAGTTATCTTATTCAAAGCTATTTATGTATAGCATTTAAATCATTAATTTAAAACTATTTTTAATTTTATAGGATTCTCTCGTGTTTTGATTCCTGCGCTCTCTAATTTTATGTTAATAATTTTATCTTTTAATTTATTAAAAGATAAAAGAATTCTATTTTAAAACATTAAAAAGAATTCTATTTTAAAACATTAAAAAGAATTCTATTTTAAAACATTACTTCTACCCTGTTCTGTGATGAAAATAAAACTGATCGATTGATAAATTATTCCGTAATTTCCTCTCCAAATTCTACTTCTATTAAGAAACTGCATTAAGGCTGCAATTCCACCCCTTTCTGAGAGTATCATAAAGCACAGTATCACTTTATCTGAGTAAACAATGCACAGTATCGTATTATCTGGTTTGTCTAGTTCTATTATTTTCCGCTTTACTATAAAAATGTCTTAACATAATAGAGTGGAAAAAAATAGGGTTTAAGGGAGAGCTTATTTGCTTTGATAAACTCATAATTAGCTGTGCAAGCTATGCTCAAAGACCAGTTAGGTCTAGTGGTTAAGGCACCAGGCTAGAAACAGGGAGGCAGCGAGTTCTAGTTCCGGTTGTGCAAACTCAAGATGATATTCAAAAGCAGGAAGTTGGACTTGATTTGCAGCTTGATGAATTGAAATCTGATCTGTTACTGTCTGATGTGAAGAAGAAAGTATTTGGTTTGAAAAATATAAATCTGCTGGAAAAGATTGAAAAAAACACGAATATAAAAAATTCTGAAATAATGGAATTGATGAAGGATGGACTGGATTTTCTTAACCAAGAGGAATATTGTGATGTCAAGGAGAACTATTCAACAATGGATGTTGCAGATATTTACAACCGTGACTTAAACAAACTTTGGAAATGAGATGCAATTATTGGTAAAATTCCATATTAAAAACCTAATGGAAGGTTTCATTATTAAGAACCAAACGAGGGTTTTTGATCCTGGACTGATCAGAGATAATGACTGGAGTGATTTGTGCTAAATAAGAAACAGTGCAGACTTTCTATGAGTAAATTACAATAACAGACTGTTAACAAAAGTGTTTTGAATTTTAACTTTGCTGTTGTTTAACCTGTTAACTATTTTTTTTTTCATATATGTAATGTATGACAGGTCAATTGGGTTGCAAGTGCAAGGTAGGAAGCTATCACTGTTGCAATAGTGTTCAACTAGGATTGATAATATGTATTTTTGTCTTTTGTTTTTTAATTCATTCTTTTATTTTAAAATTTTGTACTTTAATCTTTTGAATAAAATAAAATAATTAAAAAGAGCACTTCACTATTATATAGGAAGTATTTAGAAATACAACATATTTTCATTCAATCATTCATAAAACAGCCCTTCTACTTGGATTGGAAACAGTTTTAGCAATAAATTATTACAGGAAGAATTGCTGTTTTTGAAAAATAGAGCAACAACTAATTTATAATGCAGTCACTTCTCTTTCCTATAATATCACAATCATACTGGCAGCATTAAAAAATAACTGTTAACACAAAAATTAAAATAGTAACATTATGCCCACAATACTGAATTCCCCAATTTATTTCTTAAATTAATTCCAATATACAACTTAGAAATTAGTTCAGAACTAATGAATATTTACATATGTTTCTTGTTTCAACATTTATTCAGTATAAAAATAGGTGTACATATAGCAGATTTCAAATTATACCTAAATTTATAGTTAATGATTTCTAAATAGCAGTCTGCCAATATTTGTAAAATAAGATAAAAATAAATAAAAGTTTATGTCATGAAATGGATAGCTTTAAAAATTTGATTTTGGCAAAGATCTGCTTTCTTCTGATCATCTTACAGTAACTGATTTGATAGGCAATATCTTTCCCTCTCTGGAGGAAGAAAAAATATTTCTCTATCTTATCCACATAAATATATAAAAAAAGTAAGAAAAAAAACCCCCAGATCTTTCCTTCCTGCAAAGTCTTTCCTCCTTAAAGGCAAATGAGCAGAATTGTGCAATACCACTGCTCCCAAGGTAGCTTCCCATGATGCTACAATCAGTAACAATACATACCTGCCCTAGAATGTGCCAAACAAATCCAAACTATTCATAATGCAATATCTGGAACAACTTTACTACAACTATTTGCTAAGAAATTGAAGGCTGGTTGAGGCCTTCAGCAAAATGAAGTGATCAGTGCTCTGCCATTTGAGTGGTCTGACAGAAAATTAAACTCTTCCCATGTAAGCATTTGACGGAAACAAATTCTATTTTCCGACTTGTTTTTTCTCTCTCAAAATAAGCCTTAACTTGATTTTTGGGGGTGGGCCTAATATAAGCCCTAACCCAAAAATAAGCCTAGTTTTGGGGTGAGGCACACACCTAAAAATCAGGGCGGGGGAGTGGAGCTGCCCCATGCGCCCCGTACCCACTTAACTTGCAGCCAGGCCTCTCCTCGACAGCCCGCTTCTTCTGCAGCGTCCCCCGACCTGCATTTCGCAGTCAGAGGCCTTTCCGTAAAGCCACTGCAGCCGAGAACCAAGCTACGGATTCAATCCATAGCTCGGTTCTCAGCTGCAGAGGCCCTGTGAAATGCAGGCCGGAGCTCCATTCTCAGCTACAGAATGAAGCTGCTCCTTCGGCTGCAGATGATGTGGGCCGGCTGGGTGGGGCTGTCGGTGCCGGAGGTGAGTGGAAAATACACCTCCCCCCAAATAAGATTTGGTGCCTCTTTTGGAGGCAAAAAAAAAAGAAAAAAAAAGACCAGGTCTTATTTTTGAGGAAACACGGTACCTCAACCTAGCTTCACTCTTCATGAAGAGTGTGAAGGAGGTGAGGCAGGAACAGTCTGCCACATAAGACGGTGTTGCTTTGTGGTTCCATAGGCATTACAGTTTGTCGATGCATTTAAAACATTTTAACACGTTTTCAATAGAAAATGTCCAGTCCAATTAGATCATTTACCATTTCCTTATTTTATAGCATCCATAAATCAAGCTTTAGCATATAGAAGTGTTTGTTCATATATAGAATCTTCAATTATTGTAAACAAAATCACAGAAATTTTTTTCAAATGATATATTTACACATATACAAACAATATTATACATCACTCTGCAGTCAAGTTGCACAATGACCTGGATCTCAAATCATCAATGTAACCATGAATTATTGTAGAAGCTCACTAAATAGCTATTGCATTTAACTGATACTACAACCTGAATCCCAGCTGAGGAATGTTAACCTGAGACATCCTATACTAGAGATATTCAATATAAACTGATGCGTTGGGCAACTGTAATGTACCGTGTACTTAGAGAAACAAAACAGCAATCTGTGATCTCTCGTAATGCCTCATGAGATGATAATTATTTGCTAACAGAATTCAATCCATACAAGTATTCAAGAGTGAACCACAACGTGGCAAGCTAGATTCAAGAGGTGAATTGCGCCTCAGACGTTGCACTGTAACACACAACAGTGTTATGTTGCTTTATCTTTTATCATTAGTTGCAAGAGAGTCCAAGTGGATCACAATCTTTCAATAATCAAGTTGAGTTATTGTGGTAATATTCAAACAAATATAATACTGGTTCTGGTAAACATGAAAATAGTTGAGATAGTTATTTCTTTTACTGAGACAATTGTGCAACCTCATTTTCCTTCTTCAATGTTGTAACCAAAGATGTGTAACCAAAGTAACATAAAAGTCTTGAAGATTTGTATTCTCAAGTAAAATTGCTGAGGGTGTTTCATTTATATGAATGATCTCAGGATTTCAGAGATGTGTGTGTGTGTGTGCCTGTGCATGTACACACACACGCACACACATATGATCTCAAAAATAAAATGTTGTATTGGTATATAAATCATACGCTACAAAACCTAGAATAAATAATAGAACTTTTCCTATCTATAAATCAGCATACTTTATCTATCTATCTATCGCCAATCATGTTTATTCACCAACTTTTAAGTGAAAAGGTGCTATTAATTCCCACGCAGCTTCTTCATGATAGGGCTGTCAGGGTTAGCAGTGGTAAATATGCTTCCAACTAGTACATGAGTTCCCCATAGATTATGCCGAATAACTTTACAGCAGCCTAGGTCTTCCACAAGAAATCCTAACTGGTGATACCGTTCATCAGTTTCAAAAAGAGTGTTGTTTGTGTAAGGGCCAAAGAACTGAAAGGAGAGAAAAAGAATGAAATATAGAGCATTGTTAACAGTTGATCTGATTAAATTCCTGCTTAAGTAACTACTGTATATGCACTACTTTTTATTTCTATGAGGCATTATCTGAATGAGTCAAAAAATAATTATGCATATTATGCTCTTAATTTCCACATTAGCAAAACGTGATCAATATTTGTCATTACGGTAAACTACATACATTGCAAAGACTGCCACAGCCCAGTCTAGAAAAGGGATATATCTAAACACAGTCGGCATCCATTAATAAAGGTTGCAGAAGAAAAAGGTTGTCATCTAGTAAAGGAACATAAAATATTCTAGTTTTTTTTTCCTTCTGCGTGATTCAGTTTTACACAAGGAAAAGTCATCCTGCATAATGATTGGCAAAATATAAAAAATAATGACAGAAAAGTATCTCAAGGCTAGCACTTTGAATGCATCACCATCCTGGATGAAAAGCAGCATGCATTTAACATGTGTGCAAATAAGCCAGAGCATCTGTAATACAAAGCCAGATTAGGGCGAGGGAAACTCAGGATCATACGTGCTGTCTGCTAGCTGATTGCGGCTTACCAGACTCTCACAATAACATGCAGACGGTCCTGGCTTAACTATGGTAATTGTGACTGTAAATTCCACCCCTAAATGATATTGTTGTAAAGCACAATGTTATGTGATTTGCATCGCTTAACAACGGCAATCCCTACAATCCCCTTTACAGTGGTGAAGTGAAATTGAGGGTCATTAAGTGAGGACCTCATATGACAGTGACTTGGGATTTCCTGCCAGCTCCCACAAAGTCAATGGAAGAAAACTGGCAGGAAGTTGCAAGTTCCAGATGGCCTGAAGACAGGCCAATGGGTAGGTAAGTATTATACGGAGTGAGGTGGGCTGGAGGGAGGTTACTGAAATTAGTGCATGTGGACTGGGAAGTGATTGCTGTGGTGCTGTGCAAGTGTGTGTGGGGGTTGCAGAGAGGGTGTTGCTACGAAACGCAAGTGAGGCCAAAATGTGTGCTGTGGAATATGAGATCTCAAGAATCTCATACTTTGTAAGTAGAGTTCCTTGGGGGGAAAAGTGGCAGACGTTAATTGCAACCTTCTCTGCTGGCTTCCCCACTGACTCTGCTTGTGGGAAATCAGCAGGGAAAGTTGCAGATGGGGATCACATGATAGTAGATGTTGCAACCATCCTAACTGTGAGCAGAATACCAAGCATCTGGATTACAATCACGTGACCATGGGGTTGCTGGGACAGCCAGAACTTTGAAGGCCGGTTGTAAGTTCCGCTTATTCAGCACTGCCAGAATTTTGAATGGTCATTAAGCGAGAACTACCGGTACCTCAAAAGGCTCTTTTATCACTAAGTATAAACAGGAAGAACTACGTGCAACACCTTGAGCTCCTACAATGATAGACAGGAAATACCATATCAATACACTTATTAAATAAAAATAATCTAAGACCTTTAATGGCAACCAGCAAGAACAAACAATTGATGGGAGGATTTATACTCTTACTGCTAGTTTGCTGAAGTCTGAACATGGTATTCCTCTCCTTACTATATTTTAACATAAATACTTACTGCTAATCCTGAAGTCGGATCAATGAAGTCTGCCCAGTAGCCTTCGGAACACAAAGCATAGCAAATTTCCTTAGCACCATTGATAAACTTAGAAGAGAGAAAATAAGAAAAATGCAAAATGCAAGTCTTTCTCCATCAAGCATAAATTCACTTCAAAATCAAAGAGCAAATGCTCAGAACTTCAGCTGATCAAACTGAATAACTTTACTAACAGGATTAACACTATTAAGCTATATTTAGATCCCATAAAGTCTTTGTGCTAGGCAATAAAGAATTAATACTTCAATTGCTTTCATTGTTCATTTGAATATAATGTTAGCTTTGTTTTCTTAATTTCACAACATCTAAAATTAAAGCTAAAATAACCACACATCATCTACTTTTCTCATGTTAATATATGCTTTTGCCTTGATCAGAAAATTAAAAAGATGGCGCAATTTAAGGATGCTTTCTAAATCCTTATCAAGTAAATTAAATTGAATAAATAAATACATTTCAGAGTACATGCATAGGTAGTGTCTGACTCTGAAGTAGATTGTATCAATTCAGAAAGCCAAAACCAAAGGAACCTATAACTAGGTAGGAAAAAAGGATGTTTTTCCCAAATCCCAAAGACTATCTAATGTAAAATATAATTGTAAAATTTAGCAGTGGCTTGAGCCATTTGCAATGAACGTGATTAAGGTTCATACCCTCTACGATTAATTTTTGTATCATGGTGCATGATATATTGAAATCAAGCCTAATAAAAGAAACATATACTTCAGGAAAAGCTGACTATAACTACATAGCTTTCAAACACATGAATGGCTTATTAAACCAAATATATGTATGTTGCAAAAACTGAAAATCAATTCTCTACACAACATTTTCAATTTTGTCTAATCCAGTAAAGTATAAGTTGTCAGTTTTAGTTAGAACGGGCTAGTATTTTAAAATCACAAACCACTGTTTCCCAGTTGGTATGTATGAGAAATCATACTAATTAAGGCTTAACTTGTTTTCAATGCTTCTCTCTCTCTCTTTTTTGGCAACATCTGCAAAGATTCTATACTTGAGCTTTGCCTTATTATGTTATACCATGTTTCCCCCCAAAAAAGACCTACCCTGATTTTTTTTTGGGGGGGGGGCTAATATAAGCCCTACCCCCAAAATAAGCCCTAGTTAGGACCCTGCCCACTCCGTCCCACCTCGCTGCCGCAATGGGGCAGTAGAGTGCGTGTTGCACCACTGCCGCCACAATGAGGTGAGGCAGGTGGGAGAGGGGGTGGAGATGCCCCATGCGCCCTGCACCCACTTACTTCAGGGGCCCCCAGCCAGGCCATTCCTTGCTTGGTGACCTTCCCTTTTACTCCCCTCCCGAGCCAGACTGCCATGCTACGAAGGTCCCCCTCCGCCATTTCAGAGCCAGGGGTGAATGACGGTGAAAGGCTTCACTGCCGCTATGCACCACTGGAAGGGCTTTCTTCGTGCTTCGGACCATAGATCACCTGCCCAGAGGCAGCCGCCACCTCCTTCTCCTCTGCCAGCTCTGCCGTGGCTTGAGCCATGACCTCAAGTCTCCCCTGCTGCCTCCCTCCACCAGCCCTCCATCGCCGCCCCTGGAGAGAACAGAGAACGGGGAGGGGGGGAGTGGCTCTGCACAGTGATGCAGAGCAGAGAAGAGCATTTGCTTGTGGCCCTGCATTGCCCTGCGTCTCCCTTCTCCGTTCTGGAAATGGCAGTCCCATGTTTTGCAGCTTCTTCGCCTGGTGCTGTTGCAGAGTTTGGCGCACCACCGCCCATTGTGAACCAACACCCCACCAGAAGTGGTGCCATAAAAAATCCTGCCAAATGTGAAGATGCCAAAGGAGTACTGCTAGTGAAGTTCATGGAGTGTGGTTAAACCATCAATTCAGATGTCTGTGAAACGTTACGAAAAATCGGAAGAGCAATCCATAACAAGCGTTGGGGCATGCTGACTTCCTGTGTGGTGTTGCTTCACGATAATACTTGCCCGCACACCTCTAGACGCACCTAAGAACTTTTCAAGTAGTTCCGTTGGGATGTTTTTGATCACCCCCCTATAGTCCAGATTTGGCATCGAGCGACTACTACTAAGGAATTTCAAATCTTGCAAGACGTTAAGACAAGTGCCTCAATTTGAATGGTGAATATGTCAAAAACAATGTAATGTTGTAATTTTCTAATGTGTATAATAAAAGTTCCGTATCTGCAAGCAAACGTATCTATAAGCAAACGAAGGTTTATTTCCGAATTGCCCTCGTATTTAATTCAGCAATTTCCCAAACTATAAGTTATACAGTAAAGTACTCTTGCTTTGCTCCTTTAGAATCACTAAAGCTATGTAACTCATTCAATCAAGAATTCTCCTCCTAAGTGACCCACTCTTCTGAATCCATTATCTAGAAGCCAGAAATCAGCTCCAAATGCTTTAAAATGAAAATAAAACATCTATTCCTAGCAGTTAACTGCAAGGTATTGTATCATTACAATTATTCATAAATGGAAAACAATACCCTTAAAATGTGAACATTTTTTTTAACTAGACATGTTCAGTAAATAACATTTTATGGAGAATACCAGCAGTAAATACGGACATCTGTTGGAACTTAATTACCGACTGCTTAAAGCCAAAGTGGTTAAAAGGGAGCCTGGAAAAAGAATGACCCCTAGTGGCAATTTTGCACAAGGGCAGAGTTAAATGTAGTTTTCATTTAAGCAAGTACCAACAAGCTTTCAGATGAAACCCTTAATTTACTATACAGAATGAAAAACATTAGAATGTCATCATGTCATGCTAGGAATGAGTATGCATAAATTTTTTAAGATTAGTACTTTCTTGTGAAAAAACATAGTGACTTAATTAGTTTAAAGTTAACAGTTAATTATGTGTAGATGGATATGGGTATAGAGTGTGTGTGTGTGTGTGCTTGTGTGTAGTATTTATAAAGGAGGCTGGTTAACAGTTTAAAAAAATATAATGCCTCTTTAGAACCAAATCTGATTTTTGACGACTGTGGACATATCTAGGTATTTCTTTTTTGGCTTCTACAATTTAGTAAAATATCTGTCCTTTCAAATATGTTTTATGTTTGTAAATAATGCTTTACGTTCAGAGTAACTGGGTTAGGAATCTATGAATCTATTTGGGCACCCACATATAAAAACACCCACCCACCCACCCAGAATCAGTAGTGGAAAGTAATTACATCTGATCATCCAAAGCCACTTACATTTTCAATGAGGACTTCTCGCTCATTTTCTACCTCTCCACTCCACCCAGTCATATCATTTACAGTTTTCTGCGTTACCGTTAGTACTGTTATGTTTTTGGAAACAACGTCTGGAAACATTGACTCAAAATCTACAAAAAATAAGAGATAAATATTTTAAATAACTTTGCCGTTGGCATATTTCTACATTATTTGCCAAGCGCCCAAAATGTGGTCATGTGATTATTTTGTGTGTGTGTATGTGTGTGTGTGTGTGTGTGTGTAATCATCGTTAAGTAGCTTTTTTTGGGGGGGAGGTTCGATTGTAACTTTGGTCGCTAAGTGACCCATCGTAAGTTGAGGATCCCCTGTACTCAGCCTCTAGCAACCAAGAGGAAGACACATTTGCTCCCTAAAGGCCTATTCTTTAACTGGTGCACTAAATACTTTGCTCATATAGAAAATTAATCTAGGATTAAAAAAAAAATGGCAAAAGGAAGTTAATTCAAAAATAAAATTAATTCAAATGTACTGAAGCCCAAGAAAATTAACCAAGTCACCATACTAGATACAAACGTTACTTAAACTGTCAATCTGTGCATGTTTTTTCTTCAAGCTACAATTTTATACACTTTTTAAATATAATTAACAATGTGGAGGGATGGGGGGGGAGAGCAGGAAACTCATACCTTTGCGCAACAGTTCTGGGCATGCTTGTATCGCACATTCTACTTTGGCAGTTTCAAAGTAACTTTTGGCATCGGCAATGTCTTCCTTGTGAACAGCATTATTGCCCTGAAAAAAAAAATAAGTTTTTTTATCTTAAGTCTTTAATGCATATTATCGATTAGAAAATATTTGATTTATTTTAGTCTTTTATTCCAGTTCTTCTAAGGTTGTGCTATATGTATGTGTGTGTGCATGTGTGTGTCCTTAATAATGTTAAAAACACGAATCCCGAATATACACATAACATGGAATAGATAAAAAACGATCACCAGGATAAAATCATAAACAAAAGTGTTTAATTTACAAAAGTACTGAACTTTCATCGACCACACTGCCAATATCGTCAGAATATAAAATGCTGGATCCAGGAGTCCGTTTTTATGTGACTGGCTGCCTCTGTGCCTTGACCCTCGATCGGGTCATTGGTCCGTTCATTAGCATAGGCCGTGTTGTTCTTAAAGGGGCCATTTCTAAAGTTGCTCTCCTCCCTCTAGTTGTTATTGTTCTCTTGATGCGTATGCGAGCGCCTGGGGATCGGCTGTCAGATTACTCCTGTTTGTCTCTCCCCACCCCCTTCGTTTTAACTTGCCTCCGTGTTGCCAAACTGCCTAGCATGTGTGTTTCGGGTGTCGTTCCCCCGTTTGCCACTCCTGTTACTTTCCTTACACGTGTGTAAATCTCTGGGGATTGGCTGTCCCATTGTTCTTGTCTCTTACTCCTCTCTGGTCCCACTATCAGGTGCGCCCCTTTATATGTTAAAGGGTTGCTTGTCAAGCACGTCTTTGGAATCACTCCTCCTCCTTCTCCTCTGCTTGCCAGCCTTGTTATCTCTTCGATACACATGTGGGAGCGCAGGAAGTGGTCATCCCGTCATTTGTGCTCACTGTTTCTCGCTTCTTCCACCACTAATCGGGGCCATGAGTCTATTGCCGAGTCGTTCACGGGGCATGCCTTTGGTATGCTTCCGCCACAGCTAAGGTCTATTACTCCTCTTCTGCGTCTGTGTCCGTCTGGGGCGGCATCCTCAGAGAGAATTGTGAACTGAAGGTGCGCCCCACAGACAAGACACCTCAAACCCATTCAGGTATGAAAGGGAAAGGGGGGATGGCCCAATGCTATCAGACAATCAATCCCCAGGTGCCTGCACAGTCCGGTGGAAAAACAAGGGTGACAAGCAGAAAAAACACGGGGGAAACACGCCACACAGACATCCGGAACGCGAACAGCTTAGCTCAGTTAAGATGAGGGGAGGAGGAAAATGAGCAAGAACCACTAGATGGCCACCCTCGTGACGCATGCACACACACCGGAGAGAAGGGAAGAGCGCCGATACACTCCTGGGTTGACGCTTGGCCGGACGTGCGGGCGCACCTGCCAACGGGGAAGGCAGTGGGTGTGGGGCGAGAGCGGCTGGATGCCCCCCAGATGCGGAAGAGGAACAATAGACCTTAGCAGTGGGGGAAGCGTACCAAAGGCATGCTCCGTGAACGACTCGGCGATGGATGCACGGTCTCGATTAGCAGTGGAAGAAGCGAGAAACAGCAAGCGCAAACGATGGGATGACCACTTCCTAAGCTCCCACGTGCGTACGGAGAAGATAACAAGGCTGTCAAGCAGAGGAGGAGGAGGAGGAGGAGGAGGAGGAGGAATGATTCCAAAGACGTGCTTGACAAGCAACCCTTTAACACATATAAGGGCGCACCTGATAGTGGGACAAGGGGGGAGTAAGAGACAAGAACAACAGGACAGCCAATCCCCAGAGGTTTACACATGTGTAAGGAAAGTAACAGGAGTGGCAAACAGGGGAACGACACCCGAAACACACACGCTAGACAGTTTGGCAACACAGAGGCAAGTTAAGATGAAGGGGGTGGGGAGATACGAACAGGAGAAATCTGACAGCCAATCCCCAGGTGCTCGCATACGCATTAAGAGAACAATAACAACTAGAGGGGGGAGAGCAACTTTAGAAATGGCCCCTTTAAGAACAACACGGCCAATGCTAATGAGCGGACCAATGACCTGATTGAGGGTCAAGGTGCAGAGGCAGCCAGTCACATAAAAACGGACCCCCGGATCCAGCATTTTATACTCTGATGATGTCGACAGTGTGGCCGATGAAAGCTTAGTACTTTTGTAGATTAAACAGTTTTGTTTATGATTTTATCCTGGTGATCGTTTTTTATCTATTCCATGTTACACACACACACACACACACACACACATATACACATATATATTTAACTTCTAGGCATGTGAAGTACATTTGAATTCTTGTCAGGCTTCATACAAGTGACAGTCCATCTGTACACAGTTTCAATTTATTATGATTTTTATGCTTCCAGTTTGTAATATTTTTTTCTTATCTGTCCAGACTCCAAGACTGCAGCAGCATATACATTTTGTAAAGTAAACAAACCCTAATTCATAAAACGCATTAAGCATAAAGGCATTTCTACTCTTGGAATGATTGTTTAGTGTGACTGTTTAATACTGATTTATCAAATTCTGCTTCAAAAACTTGTGATACATCCCCCCCAGCGGAAGGAAGAATACTGAAAAGCAGGTTCTTTGCCTATCCCTACTGAACTTTTCCTATAATGTACAGATAAAGGGAGTATTGACTTTCGGTTCCAGATGTGATGCCTTCGGACACGCGGGGGGAAGCTTCTCCCTGCCGTCTGGTTTCCCTTCGTCGGAAGACCCTGGAACGGGTCAAAAGTCGCCCTGGAGGGGTGACCACCATTGGGGAGGACCCTCGCAAGATCGCGGAAGGGCAGCAGCCCTTCCGTTTGATCCGAGGCAGCTCCCTGGGACCGACGAAGAAAAGATCACTTAATCACATCAACCGAAAGTCCCAATAACAGCTAAGCATACAAAGCAGGAGTGGAGGATTTGGGTGAGATCCTTTTTTACCTCTCTTTTTCCCTGCAAAATATCGGCTTTTTTGTGTGTAGTAACTGAAAAAGAGGCATTTGGGAAAAGATTTTGTGGTCTTCTCGGGACATCTTGTGGCAAAATTTGGCATAGCAACTGGAATTTCTTTTCAATTGTGCTTGTTGATTACTTTGATTTGTCCTTCATGCTATCAAAAAAGACGTAGAAACAGCTGTGGTGACAATAATTCTTACAAATTGTGGAGGTGGACAATAGCTGAGTCTTATTAAACAGAGCCTCCACTAAAGGATTATCTTTAATCACCATGGAAATGGATGAATTTTATCCACAACTTAGTTACAAACTTATCCTTGAAAAAATCCGTGAAGCAACAGAGCTAATCATTTCAGAAGTGAAAGCCAAAGACATTTTTACAAAATTACAAATTGAAACTCAGACTCAAACTGATCAACCTATAACCCCAAAAATAACAGAAGATGAACAATTTAACATTAAAGAAGATTTCATACAACATGCACAACTGGCTGAGATGACTTTAACTACAGCACCTGTAACTCCAAAAGCGGAGAACTTAGACATTTTAGATATCCAAACAACAACACCGGATATGACTCTCTATTCTACTCAGATGAAATCGCAAGAAGAAGAGGACCAGACTACTGAACCGACTATAAATATCCTAAACCAGGGGTTCTCAACCTTGGCAACTTTAAGACTTGTGGACTTCAACTCCAGCAAAGCTGGCTGAGGAATTCTGGAAGTTGAAGTCCACAAGTCTTAAAGCTGCCAAGGTTGAGAACCCCTGCCCTAAACCAAACATGGAGATTTGAATTATTAGGGCAACAATTTAACAATTACAAAGGGACCAGTTCTTTTGAAAGACTGATAACTGGACGTTCTCCCTTGATTCAAACAACAGGTGTAGGAATGAAGGGAGATACATCCGAGGTTTTAGAGGCACTGGCATGGAAACCTATTTGGCACAAAAGGAAAGCCAGAGTCAGATTTAAAAATGGGATTTAGAAATCTACTTAATGGGTAAAGCAGCTTTTTAGAGATAATGTTTTTTTTATATTTAGCACTTTATAATGAGAGTTAAAATTAACTGTTAGACTATAACTTTAATTGTTATATGGAAATAGATTTGTGATAATGAAAGATATTTTGTTATTAAAGGAAGAGTTATTAGAATGAGAATTAGAATATATTTGTCTATAATGAAGGTAAATTTTGGAATATGTGTATTTTAGTTATGTTAATTATATTATAATGAAATGAGGGAAGTCAAGGTTATCCGAAGTTTAAACATTGGTTATAAAAGGCTAAATTGGAATATATAAATTGGAATTAAATAAAACCTCTAAACAGGACTTGGATATACATAGGTAAAATACTATTGATAAATGTACTGATTGATTGAGCCTAGTTAGAAACTTATTAACATGAACATGATATAATATTTGTGGGAAACAGTGAGGGAATGTTATTGATGTAACCTGAGATATATATGAATGATTTTGTTATTGACTGATTTCCCTAGCACCACGCTGCTTCCTAAGTATCTGGATGTTAAAATTTGAAAAATTAATAAAACTTGTTTTTTAAAAAAAGATAAAGGGAGTATTTCTAGAATGAGATTAATTCTTGGTAGGATAGATTTGGTAACAATAATTTTTGATAGTACAATAATACTTCGGTACTCATTGTTAATTGGTTCTGGGAGGTACAATGAATACCAAAAACACTGAGTACTACACAATTTTTTCCCATAAGGAATGCAGTGAGTTACAAGGCACTTGACATCGACGAGTTCTAGTTAGTGCATTGAATACCAAACAAACAATGAGTAGTGGGATAAAATTTTCATATCAAAATGTGTTGAATACCCCCCCAAGGCTTTTTTGGGGGGGTGAGAGGAGTGCTCCCACGGAGTTCAGAGTGTCTCCGCTTCCCAGCTGCTTTTGTCCCTAGGGACAAAACAAGCCGCTGCAACCACTTCCGCGATTAAAGTGATCTGGTGAGGTTTTTTTAGAGGCGGACAGAGCTGAGTAGAGGATTTAGCTTTTGCTTTCTTTGATTTTATTTGGATTTTAAGTTTAAAGATTTACTTTTACTTTTATATTCCCTCTTTTTATTTTTTTTCTTTTGTTGAAAGGGGAAGTAAAATGGCGATCGGCAAGCCTTTCGGTTTTTTTTTTTTGGGGGGGGGGGAAGGTAGAATGGCGATCGGCAGGCTTTTTGGTGTTTTTTTTATCCTTTTCCTTTTTTTTTAATGATTGGAACGGAATGTGGATTTGATTTTGATGTTGGGTTTGGATTTTAGAAGCATTATTATTTTGTTTAACTTCTTTGTTTTGCTTTTTGTACTTTTAAAAAAAACGGAATGGATTTTTTTCTATTTAATTATTTTTTTCTTCTTCCCTTTTCTTTTTTTAACTCCTTTCTTTTTATTATAATGATCTCCTTTTGAAGGATTTTTTGATTTTTTTGGAGTTAATCTCTCTTTTTCTTTTGTTTAATTTTTGTAACTTTTAAGAAGGAGTAAAGATTTTTCTAAGATGGCTCCAAAGCGTTCAGTATCTTTTTGTTATAATGATCTCCTTTTGAAGGATTTTTTGAATTTTTTTTGGACTTAATCTCTCTTTTTCTTTTGCTTAATTTTTGTAATTTTTAAGAAGGAGTAAAGATTTTTTTTAAGATGGCTCCAAAGCGTCCAGTAATTCCTACAGCTCCTAAGGTGGTTTCTTCTTCGGTGTTATCATCAGTGCAACAACCTAAATCAATAGCTTCACCCTCTTCCTTGGTACAGCCAATAATTGTGAAGGATTTGCAAGATATGATGGGAAATGTTATATCTCAAATTAGGGCAGAAATGAAAGAGATTTTAGAGGAAAATAATAAGATGTTGAGGCAAGAGATAGTTTTGGCTCTAAAAGGAGTTGCCTCTGTTCTTGAAAAGCTGAACTCTCGTGTAGAAGAGGTAGCAGAAAAAGGGGAATTGATGGAGTGAAAATTTGAAAGCATGGAAAAAGAAATGGAAAATGAGATTCTTATGCTTCAATATAGACAAATGGAATATGCCTTAAGAATCAGAGGTTTGGGAGAGTCTGTGCAAGGAGATCTGAGAGAGATGGTTGCAAAGGACTTTGCTGTGATTTTGAATAAAGAAAAAGAGGAAATACTTAGTGAAATTGAAAAATTATTTAGAGTTAACTCTGTGGTGGCAGTGCAAAAGAATTTGCCAAGAGATGTGGTAATTTACTTTGGGAAAAGATCCCTGTGCAACGAAATTATACAAGCTTTTTATAAGAAGAGATTTCAAATTGCTTCACAAGATGTTATAATTCTAAAGGAGATCCCATCTAAAATTTTAAGAAGAAGAAAGGAGTTTGCTTTTTTAGCAGATGAACTTAAAAAGAGACGAATCTTGTTCAGATGGGATGTTCCGATTGGAATGGTAGTGAACTACCTGGGGATATGTTATAGACTTAATACTGTTTCTCAAGCAAAAGACTTTTATACTTCGGTCCTGGGGGTATGTTCATCGCCATCTATTAAGTTTAAAGTTTTGGAAGAAAAGAAGGTAGAATTGCAGTCTGAAGAGCCTATACTTATGAAAATTGGGAAACCTCAGTTTGAGGGGCCTCAACAAGTTGAGATGGAGGAGCAGAGGATAACCTGTGCAACATATAACTGTAAAGAAAAGGAGCAACAGAAGAAGGTTAAGGAAGCCTCACAACTATTGGTTTCTGAATCTGCGGGAGAAGTAGGATTTATAAATTTTTTGGAGCAACCTTTAAGGGTAGAATTGCAGTCTGAAGAGCCTATATTAATGAAAAATGGGAAATCTCAGTTTGAGGGGCCTCAACAAGTCGAGATGAAGGAGCAGAGGACAACTCGTGCAACATATAATCGTAAAGAAAAAGAGCAACAGAAGAAGGAGTTTAAGGAAGCCTCACAAGTATTGGCTCCTGAGTCTGTGGGAGAAGCAGGATTTATAAACTTTTTGGAGCTACCTTTAAGGGCAGATTTCAAAGCACTTCTTTCGAGATTTATGTATAAGAGAGACTGACAAGGATGGAGATCGAATGAAAATTCTAGATAAGATGTTTAAGTTTAAGTACTTAGTTTAAGTATTCAAAAGAGTACTGAGTCTGTGGGAGAAGCAAGATTTACAAACTTTTTGGAGTTAGCTTTAAGGGCAGTTTTCAAAGCATTTCTTTTGAGGTTTATGGACAAGAGAGACTGATAAGGAATGTGTTTATTGTGGATGGAATTTGTTCTTGGTAAAGATTTAAATGTGTATAAGGGAATTTTAATGGTTTATGGACAAGAGAGACTGATAAGGAATGTGTTTATTGTGGATGGAATTTGTTATTGGTAAAGATTTAAATGTGTATAAGGGAATTCTAATGTTTTAAGTAATGTTCAAATTTGTGTTTTGGAGGGAGTTTATAAAGAATGATGGATAATAATATAAATATGATATGAAAATGTTCAGAGTATATTACAATGTGTTTAATGATTGGATTTTTTTATTATTATTATCATTATTATTATTTTTAAGAGAAGATAACTTGTTTAATTAAATGTACCTAGATTTGTTTAGGATTTATATGTCTTTTAAGTTTTTTTTTTTTTATATAGGAGAGAAGATTATGGAGATTGAATGAAAATCTTAGATAAGAAGTTTAAGTTTAAGTATTTAGTTTAAGTATTCAAAGAGTATTTAGTTTTAATGGTATAATGAAGGTTTATATGTTTATTTTTGTGTTCTAGGATAAAGAAAGAGGGAGAGATTAGATTTTATATTGTAGGTATAGATATTCAAAGAAAGTAATGTTTAAATTTGTGTTTTGGAGGGAGTTATACAGAATGATGGATAATAATATAAGTATGATACTAGAAAATGTTTAGAGTATATTATAATGTGTTTAATGATTGCAATTATTATTTTTTAGAGAAGATAACCTATTTAATTTAATGTATTTAGATTTGTTTAGGATTTATATGTGTTTTAAGTTTTTCTTTTCTTTTTCTGAAAAATTTTAATTAAGCCTGTACTCAACTCTGGGAAGGTTGGGGGAGGGTTTGGGAGGTTTGGGGAGGTGGGGGAGGGTATGGGAGGGTGGGGGGGTTTGGGGAGGGGATTTGTTTTGTAAAATTTAAAAAACTTTCAATAAAAAAAATGTGTTGAGTACCAAATTCGATGAGTTTCAAAGCATTTCAGTACCAAGCTACCATTATATAGCAATGAAAATCAACAGATTATGCCAAAAATCAAAATAAACTAGGGCAAATCTTTTAAATCCTTCTCAGTATATTGAAGCTACCAAAGGACAGGTATTCTCTCAAAGTATACAGTTTGGAAACAATTAGTCATCTACAAGGATCATGTTGACTTGACTTAGGTGTTCTTGCAACATATCCCCAAAAGAGAAAGGACAGAAAAATAATCCCCTCTTCTCTTCTCAAACCCACCTATCTATGAAAATTTAATAAATTGGGATCGAAGTGAATCCACAGAAAGTAGCTTCTTGACTTGTATCTGAACTCAGTGAGGAAGATCTGATCTAGCAATTGCCATGATAAATTACTATGCAGGTTGAAGTCTACATTAAAAATGCACATAGGATTTCTTGTGCCATCCACCAAAAAGAGCAGCGAACGCATTTCTAGATTTGTATCTCACCTTCCCAGGAGACTTCTACACTTACCTGGAACTCGTTGACATACTGGGCCATTACAAATTCATGCCTTTCACTTGCCAAGGGTTCCATCAATAGATCAGGCATTTTTTTATGAACTTGTCCTGTTTTCTGTGGTGATGTACCTTTTAGGTGACAGTCAAAACCAATGTTACCAGGTAGCTGAAATCTTTGGTCCTGAGGACCAAAAGGTCCCATCACTTCATCTGGCCACACAGTTTTGGGACCTAAGAAAAGTTAAGTCTGTGTCACTGAAAAGCACCCACATACAGAATTGTTTTCATCAGTAAAGGACATTGCTTTTGGAATGTTGCTGCTTAAAAGTAGATTCATATACTTCAACAGAAACTGAAAAAAGTGTGTCCCATTTATCTCAGTAGAAATCAGTTCTGAGTAAATACTTGAAGTTGGGCTAAAAATACCAAAAGACACAGATTACTTAAAATATATACTGTATGATGCCAGTTTGGTGTAGTGGCTAAGGCAGTGTTCTCAACCTTTTTAATGCCGCGGCTACTCAACCGGTTGTAAGTCGAGGACTACTCAACTGGTGCAGCACCGTTTGCAGAATGGGACTTTTGGCGGGCTCAGCAGGGCAGAGACAGCCTGGACCATTCCTATTGGCTTTTGAAAGCCAATAGAATTAGACTCTATTCAAGAGAGTCTATTCTATTGGCTTTCAAAAGCCAATAGAATAAAAGGGAATAGCACAGCTAAGGAAAAGGGGGAAAAAATGGTGGACTGCGTTGTTTGGCGACCCCCGTGAAATGGTCGTTCAACCCCAAATGGGGTCCCGACCTACAGGTTGAGAACCACTGGGCTAAGGCATCAGGCTAGAAACCAGAAGACTATGATTTTGAGTCTCGCCTTGGGCACAAAACCAGCTGGATGACCTTGGGCCACTCACTTTCTCTCAGTCATAGGAAGGAGGCAATGGCTAACCGCATCTAAAAAAACCTTGCTATGAAAACTGCAGGAATTTGTGCAGGCGGTCTCTGAGAATCAGACATGATGGAATGGAAGGGGAAAAAAAAAGATTTTCTATAAAGAGATGGTTTTAATACTCATTAATGTGAGAAAAAATTGAATTTTCCTTACATATGTCAGGAGGTGCAGCAGCAACAGAAGGCTCATCTGAGCCAGAGGATCCTGCTGTGGAAAAAGCCTTGGGAGTTATAACCCTTCTAACCAACGAATAAAATCCTGGCAGGTATGTCACCAGTCTAGCTCTGTTACAAAGTACCTAAAGAGGACACAAAGAAAATTGAAGGCAGCACAGGTTGTGTATGAAACGATGACTTAGCATATAAAGCAGGGGTGTCAAACTGCTAGCCCGCGGGCCGGACGCGTCATCCAGAAGCCACGCCCACCCCAGTGCCGGCAATGGCAAAACTGTCTCGATATGTTGTGCAACGTCATGTGACGTCGGGAGTTTGACATGTCTGACATAAAGTATTCTTCCACAATAGCTGGTGCAGGCATGGAACATGTTACAATGAGGCCATGATTCAATCATCTCCCAGTGGATTACAGAGGCAGTGGAGGAAATTTCCTCCTGGCTACTCCACTGAAGTAACAGATGAGTCCACCACACCTGTAGTACTCTGGATGAGAGAGATCATTACAGGTATGATGGAAATGAATGCAATCATGTACTTCTCAGATTTAACATCTCTCCAAAGAATCTGTTACAAGGATTCATCCATCATCCTTGAATTTTGCTTGTTAATTTCTTGTATTAGCAATCAAAGAAAATACTTGAAATGTATTAATAAAAATCAATATTTTAGAGGCTGGAGTTTTACACCAGATTTACCATATAGTTACTACATCTAAGTCAGTGTTTCTCAACCTTGATAATTTTAAGGCATGTGGACTTCAACTCCCAGAATTCCACAGCCAGCATTAAAATTGTCAAGGTTGAGAAACACTGATCTAAGTATATACTTACAATTATATTAAAACACATATAAGTAATCCTTGTTAGCAACCACAATTGGAACTGACAACAGGGTCATTAAGAAAAATGGTTGCCAAGTGAAACCGTGATGGTCTTATGGTGTTGCTTTCCTTTGCTTTACAGAGCTGTAAAAGTCATAAAAGTGAGGACTGATCGCAAAGTTATTTTTCATCACCGTCATAAATGTGAAAGGTTACTGTGCAAGGCAATTATTAAGTGCAGACTACCTGTACATGAAAAATGATGGAATTATCTACAGGCAAAGGATTATAAAAAAATAAAATTATATGTAATGCACACATTATGCCAGTTCTTCTTCTGGCAAAGCTATTAAACAGGATAGGTGATAAGTCAGTTAAACCAGTTTATCTGGAGATAGCACATTTCTTATTACTAAACTGGCAGGCCACTTTATGATAAGTTGATTATAGTATTTTACCCTTCTTTATACTGGCAGAAAGTTAACCCAGCCTCCTGCATACCTTGATCAAACATATTCCTAAATTCAAAAGTCTGATGAGAACAAGGCCAGAAAATTATTAGAACACAAACTAATGGAAACACATCTTGTTTTTCTTTTTTAATCTGAACATGGCCTGAATCAATAAGACTCAGATGGCCAGTAACACCTCAGTGTAGTTTACTGTAATGACAAATACTGATCGTTTGGCTGACAATCAACTAAAGTTCTGATCTTACTATTTCCATCTCATGATTTCTATTTATACATTTGTCAATGCAACTTTAGTTAAGTTTATATTTTAATTAAAACACGTGGAAGGTTACAATACAAGCTATGCTTTTGGTTGCCACATAAAATGATATAGTTTTTAAATCAAGGGCAAAAAAAACCAAAAACACCTGTAGTTAAACTAGACTTATTTTTTCCCATCATCTAGAGTGGGCTGCTATATTAATACAGAGGATGGCAATTATTTGTAGATGCAGCATGAAGAAAAACAGCATTAACAGTTTTACGCATTTCTTAATTGAGAGATCTGAATCAAAAACAATGTGCAACATTTTTATAATAGGATTAAAAACATACTATTTCCAACCCTATATATAATAACTTTGTATTGTCTTCATTGTTACTGATCTCATAAGATTTTTTTAAAAAAATTCATACATACAGGCATATCTATTTAGTATAATAAAAATTAGTTATATTACTTACAGTTGCCATTTCCATGCTTTTCTTCGTTTAAAGAAAGTCTGAAACAGAAACATACAGAAGAGTGATCCTGAAATGCAATTTGGTAATTATGGAGAGTATTATATATTAAAAATAAGTTATTCCATTGAAAGATGATTAAACCTTCATCAGTATGAGGTTGTTTACAGCCACTATAATAAAAAAGCAGGCACATAAGATCTCATTTGGATCCAATAGGGTAGGATACAACTCCTAGTTCTGAGATATTACAGTATTCCCTTGAAAATCTTACAAATAGGATTATGGTTATTTTATTCTTTTCAACATAAGCACACATACTATTCTGAGAACAGATTTCAAGCTTTATAGTGTATGGCCAAACAATATATTTTAAGTTGACAATTTGTGAGTGATGAGTAATAATTACTGAGAAAGAGGTCATTAGGATAGTCAAATGAGGTTCCTTCATAGCTTCTATTATCTTTTCAAATGTATTATTTATTCATCAAATATATATAGCCACCCATCTCATGGAAAGTGAGTTATCCTTTTTCTGTATTCACCCTTTTCTCCTCTTGCTATGATCTTTTCCAACCTGAGTCTTCCACAGAGACTTGAGAAGAGCTCCAATCAATCACCAGGTTGATGAAAGGAGTCACAAGAGAAAGTTAATAATATCAAATGGACTAGATAGTCCAAAATGCTTTAATATACTCAAATTGCCCAGAGTCAGTTGATAGAGAGATGGGCAGCACACAAAAATAATAAACAAAATATTAAGAAGCAGATAAGCATCAACAGCTCCCTTTAACAATTTGCTGCATTCATAATCAGGTATGTGTGTATGTTTTAGCACAGCATGCAAAGACCTAGCTCTCTGGAGAAAGCTCTAAGCCAGGGTCTTCAAACTTGGCCCCTTTAGGACTTGTGGACTTCAATTCCAAGAATTCCTCAGCCAGGAACGCTGGCTGAGGAATTCTGGGAGTTGAAGTCCACAAGTCATAAAAGGGCCAAGTTTGAAGACCCCTGCTCTAAGCCCTCCGTTGGTAAAGCTTAAAGGAAAGAGAAGAGGATGACTAACAGCAAGATGGATGGTCTTCATTACAGTAGCAATGAGTTGAAAGGGCTGAAGGAGCAGGTCAAAGGTCTATGGAGATTCTCAATCATCCAGGTCATGGTTGTCCCAAAGGTGCCTTTTCCAAAACGGAAGCTTCTTCAATACTGACTGGTGGGGTCCCCTGAAGAAGCTCTTTGGATGAGAAGCAAAACATTTTCAAAGAAAAAAAAAACACAAAGTCCAGTTGCCTTTTGGGAAAGGTGCCTTTGGGACAACCAGGTTAGAGACAAAACCTATCTGTGTAGTTGTTAAAAGCTGACACCAACTTGAGGTCACATTATCAGCCCATCAATGCGCCTCTGCATTTAATGGGCTGCACCAATCCCCAAAAAGGTTTCTGTAGCAAAGCCCGTCTTTCCTCGACATCTTCGTGAAAGGCAGACATAAACGGGAGAAAGCGGTGGGGCATGAGCCCACCTAACGCATCGCCGAGACATACTCGGGGACGGAGGAGTAAGACTCCCATAGGGATTAGGAGTTGTAAAAAGGCGGCCCCTCTTGGAGACCAAGACTCCCGCAAAATCCCAAAGGTCCCATGCTGAGGAGGAAGAGGAGGCGCCTGCGCGTTCCCTCCTTTCCGCACAACTCTATGACGTGGCTGTCCCGCGCATCGCCTAGAAACAGAAGCGTCCAACCTTGGGCGACTTCTAAGATTTGTGGACTTCAACTCCCAGAATTCAGCTATGCTGACGTTCACAAGTATTTAGAAGCAGATAGATGTGAACTTCAACTTTCAGGCTAGAATAGCTGGCTGAGGAATTCTGGGAGTTGAAGTCCGCAAGGCTTAAAAGTCGCCCAAGGTTGGACACCCCTGATCTACAGCCTCCTCGACCTGCGATCCTCCGGGCTTGCAGGGCGACAACTCCCATAATCCCCAGCCACCAGCCATCAGACTCCCGAGCATCTCCCAGGAGCTATCTCGGAGGCGAGGCTCTTCCGGGATGGCTGGCCAGCAGCAACTCCCTTCAGAAGAAAAGTGTGGGACTGCTCCCGAAAGGAGAACGACTCGGATCTATATCTCTTAGATGAGACAGTCCCTAAACCGCCGGCATTCACAGCAGACCCACACCGTGATCCCCTCCTAGAAGTTACTCCGGTAAAGGCAGCCACCGGGCGGCTTCGGTCGTTTGGCAGACGGTTCAAGTGAATCGGGGCCCCAATTTAGAGGAAGAACTGATTTGAGAATTTCGGGTGGGACCGAGGTTGGCACACAAGTGGCTAGTCCTTAGTGAGAAACAACAGTTTCTTAGGTTGTCGATAGTTTTAAGAGGAGCATTTCGCAGCCTGGAAAGACAAGCCGAGCCCCCGGAGGAGTGGGGCTGAGGAAGTCGAGAAGAGCCCGTTTGGGGGTGAAAGGAAGCTTCCGGGGAAAAGAGCAACACCGCCGCCCGGTCTGCTTACCACCACTTTTCCGGCATCTGTTGTCCCCCACAAAATGGAAGACCAGGGAAGCCAGTTGATTATCGCGCTCGTCGGTCGAGCGGAAGGGAAAATAGTGTTGCCTTTGTGCGCCGGATTAGGAATAGGCGGAACGAACGATGCAGCGGCCTTTGCGTTGGTTGGGCGAAAAAGAATGACGAACCGGGAAAGGGAAAATTAATCGCTTTCCGCTTGGTCGATGGAGACGACAGCCTGGAGAGGATCGGGAGAATCAAATCAAGCACCGCTGAATGGATTGTCCCACGACTCTTTCTTTCCTCCTCCAAGAATTTAAGTCTGCAGGATTTCCATGTTCAGGGTATAGAATTGCGGGATTTAGGTGAACAAAAACACTCTTTAAAAAGGAAAAATGAGAGATAATACTGAAACAAGGCTCCTGTATTTACAATGACGTTATCCCTATTAACACATCCAGTGAGGAATAGTGGTTAAGATACTGGGCTAGGACGTGGGAGAGCAGAGTCTAATTCCTTTAAGCAAAGAAACCAGCTGGGTGACTTTGGGACAGTCAGTCTCTCTCAGGCTACACTGGGAAGTCCAAACAAACAAAAAAGACCTATGGGGGTGGGAAGCATGCATCTACCAGCTGGAGCAGTGTGGTAAGATTACAGTCCACAACTGTCAATGGCTTCATCCTGTAGTGATTTATGAATAATAATAATCCCCAATGATTTGGTTGTGGGGCTTGTGTGCTCTGAGGAAGATAGAAGCTATGCCAGAGGTTCAACCATATTGCACAGGTCTCTTCAGAGGAGCCAGACAAAGAGTGTCTCTCCCATAAACAATATGATATAATTTACAGAAACCCGTACCTGATGGTCATCAATAAGGAATGTATTAGGTGTTGGGTTTTCTGGATATCTAATGATAAATAGGCTACAGGGTTCACATCCTGAGCAACCCTGTAGCAACCAAAGCTAACAGCTGCAGCACCACTGAAAGAAAAAGTGTTATTTACTGCAAATATACCAAGATTGAAAACAAAGAAATAATGTTCTGTTTTTACAAATCAATCCAATGAGAAGACGATATTTGGAAAGAATGCACCAGTTCTGGAAAAAAAACATCCAAAATCGGAAATAGAAGAATAGAATCTAGTAGTTAAAGTTTGATTTATAATCTGAAAAAAGTATTCATCGAAACACAACTAGAAGAACTGCAAAAGTCTACCCAGAGCAAAGGAATCAAAGCTTTGCCAGAAGTAGCTCAGATTGTAGAGGCAAATCGGGGGAGTCCCCAGTAGAGGAAGCCAGCATACCTATTGAATCATTTTCATTCCCAATCAAGCACCCTCTTCTCTGCTTTCTCAGAAAGAACAAAGGCCTCTAAAAAAGAATTGAAACAAAGAATAACTGGCCTCTAGAACAGCACAAAAACAACAAAATAAGCTTTCCTGCATTGAAGTTTGTTCCAAACTTGCTAGCACAAATATTAAAAGATGTCAATCTTGCAAAATCAAATACAAGCACCAGCAAAAAACAAACCAATGAACGTACAGCATGGCTACAGTTATAACTGAATACGTGGGATCCAAAATTGGCAAAAAAGAAAAAAAGCCAAATAGTGCATCACCAAAATGGATGATTGGTCTGGAAAATAAGATCAGCAACCTAAGGAAGATGAAGCAAGCTAAAACAGATGAAAGAAAAAACAGCTAAAGAACAAGAACATCATGAAATATTTAATAAAGAAATATCACCTAGAAATGAGGAAAATTAAGGAAGCATTGGAAACAGCAAAGCGGCAAATAATAGCTATAGCAAGAAGATCAGCAAATACAAAGTTCAAATTGCATATTTTAGCTAGAATGTCCGATTTCAGTCCAATCAGAATCATTTCCACCATTGCAGAGATTATAGAGATTAAAATACAGAGATTGTACTGTATTTTTTTTGTATAGTGATATGGCCCAATAACTAAACAATAAATTATTGTGATTGGTCTCACAGTCAGCCAACCATAGTGAAAAGTAGAAAGTTCAAGTGGAAAGAACTTGTTTTCAACTAGTTGGATCTTTCAATATCAGATAGATTTTGTCAGATGTTAACCAATCTTCAGTTTTCCTCTCCTTGAAGTATGTTAAGTGCTTGGTAATGAGTGTGTGATAGATCTCCTCCTCTTCATCCCCATCATCTCAGACTGCAATCTTAAATGTATATATATAGAACCAATTTCAGTTGAATGCAAGAAGCATTTGCTGTTAAGGAAACAAATGATTATGCAACATCTGAAGTCAAAATCAAGTAAACCATTTTATAATTTGAATATTGTATGAACCAGCTCATTCTGATTTGTAAATAATAACTTATGGCTTACTTTACTGTGTTCCATATAATCAGCCACTGTGGTTAATTTGATAAATTAAGTTCAATGAAATTGAGGTTAATTCTGTTGGGTCAACCCAGCACAATGTAAATTAATCTGTTATTCAAACTTGAAGAGGAAATGTGGTTTCATTAAGATTTCTAGGATGTAGCTAGGGAGGACTCTCATGGTTTAATCTTAGAACTGATGCTTTTTAAAAACATGTTTATAAATGATTTGGAATAGGGCGTACTAATGGGTGTCAAAATGGCAGATATCCTTCAAGTTTAAAGTGATGTTCATTGCTGCCCAAAATCTTAACTATTCATACAAACTAATGGAATCGGAGCTAGAAGCGACCGATAAGGAAAGAAATTTTGTAAGAATGATAAATGCATGGTGTGAATAAAGCAGTTAAGGAGAAACTATTTTCCCTTTCACAAATTACTAGAACCGAAGGTCACTCCATGAAATTGAAACTCAAAAGAAGCAAGACAGACAAAAGGATTTTTTTTTTTTATACAACACAGAATTCAATTTTGGAATTTGCTACCACAAGATGTGATGCTGGCTCCAAAAAACAGCTGGACCAATTCATGGAAGTAATGGCTATAGCCTTCCATGGCAGTGTGACTGCCTCTGAAGGCTATCTGCTGGGAGCCTCCTTATGCCACAACAGACTGGGGGTCCAATCCAACAGGGCACCGCTTATGTTTTTATACGCAATTAACAATATCAAATTGGTTACACTTCTGAGCTTTCTCCCAAAACATTCCAGTTTCTCTGTCACTTCATTTCATGCAGGTTGTACCAGATAGACTGGAGATGGAAAGGAAATTTTTACTGCAGACTTAGAAGCCACCAGAAGCAGCAGCTTCTTAGACACAATTGTTATTCATTAGGAAAGTGTCTGGGAGATTTGTGTAATGTGTGCATGGAGCCAAAGAGCCATCTAGGCTAGGCACGCAGATGAAAGTTAACAGGTTCTGCATATTACTGAACTGAGACACTATTTAATGTGCACCTTTCCTTCAGTTCTAAACCTGTTTTTCCAGAATTCTCATAAATTTGAGTGAACTACTATAGCATTGTTTTGACATCCTTTGATTACAGTATTGAAACATACCACTGTACTGCTGTAGCTCCCATTTCCACTAGATGGCAAAAATGGTTTGCTTATATTCTAAACTCCCCCATACAAAATAAATATATACCTAAGGAAATTCACTGGAAAAAAAAAGCTAATGATGGGAAAATAATGGGTTGTTCAATGGATCACTTTTCTGTTGCTGAGATGCATTGTAATTGTTGCTACCTTTATTAGTGTTTTGCCTCTGTAGACCTCTGTTTTCAAAGGTGCAAAGAATAAAAAAGTAGCAAATTCTCAACCGGGCAAAATGTTGCTTCAGCTTTAATTAGATGTAATTGGAGATGTGGAGCTGTTGTTATTCCACATTTCTTTCTCTCGGCTCTGTTTCAAGTTTGGTTAACCCTTCTGATGTTGTATCAACCTGCTGGGCTTGATGGAGCACATTCTTTGCTGTATTAGGGAACTGAAGTAGGAACAAGTCCGGCTTGATGACTCCATGCGGTGGGAGGAATTCATCGAACGGTTTTGGGAAATATGCAGCAAGCTGAAACTGAGAACAAGTTGAACACCTTTGAAAAGTGGATTTTAAGGAGAATCTCCGGAAGCCCTTGGAGTTGCAAAATATAAAAATCTTATCATTCCATAAAGCAGTGGTTCTCAACCTTTCTAATGCCGTGACCCCATAATACAGTTCCCCATGTTGTGGTGACCCCCAACCACTTATACATCACCGGGTGCCACGGGTGTGGCCAAAGAAAAGGGGGAAAAATGGCGGACAGCCTTGTTTGGCGACCCCCGTGAAATGGTCGTTCGACCCCAAATAGGGTCCTGACCCACAGTTGAGAACCACTGCCATAAAGGATGTCAAGCAAAGAAAATTGAGATATTGGGATCATACATTTAGGATATAACTCCTTACGAAGGACCCTGCTAGAAAGAGGGAGGGAAAAGTGGAAGGAAAGAAAAGATGAAAAGAGGCCCTTGGAAATAGCAAATAGAGACAACTGGATTAAAGAATGTGCGAGGGGCAGACATAATGGAGACTCATGATTGTAAGTCTCCAGGAAGGAGAAGATGAACCTGACTGCTCTGGCCATTCTGTGACACTTCTATAACTAGTTTGAATTCATTTGATTTACTTTTACTACTATCCTAGCCTGCCTTTCTGCCCTTACCCCCCCCCCCAAAGTAACAGTGTAAACCCCCTCCCCCCAATATTCAACATTTTGTCAAGTATTTAATTTTATTTTAATTTTACTATTACACTGATACAAGACCTGGCTGAAGACAAAAGTTTTAAGCCTTTTCCTAAAAGGGAAAAGAATGGGAGGTTGGACGAAATCTTGATGTGCATTTAGGAAACACTTGAAAGCCAGTGTGGTCTAATGCGAGGCTTTTCAATCAGTGGTACGGGTACCACCTATGGCACATTGACACCTGGCAGGTGGTACACGACCATCCTAGAAAAGTGGTAGCAGGGGAGGGGAATGAGCTGAACTGGTGGCAGCACTGCACAAGCCTGAGCAAGAGATGGCTGGAGCTGCAGGGCTGTCAGGGCTCAGCGGAAGCGCCAGGATCAGTGCCGCTTTCCAGCTGATCAGCACTTATTCAGGGCTGTCAAGGTTCAGCGGAAGTGCCAAGATCAGCTCCAGGCTCCAGCTGGAGCTCGGCGCTGATCCTGGTGCTTCTGCTGAACCCAGAAGAAGTGCTGATCAGCTGGAATGTTGCAGCATCTCCAGGGTCTTGTGATTCACATTCAGATGCTTGGCAACTGATTCATATTTATGACGGTCACAGTGTCCCAGGGTCATGTAAAGTGACCAAAACCTGCTGCAACCACTCAGCAGATGGGGGGGGGATAAAAACCAAACACCCCCCCCCACTTCCACTGCCAATCCTCAACAGAAATGCTCACAACAATGAAAACCTCGGACAGGAGGAAGAGCGTTGCCGGGTGGGCAGGCAGGTATCTTGCTCGGCTGTGGCTTGGGGGGCACTTTTTTCAGTGCCATTGTAACTTTGAACAGTCACTAAGCGAACTGTTGTAAGTCGAGGACTACCTATACTTTATCACTCCCCCCCCCTTTTTTTTTGGTCATCAAGTTTTTGACACCTTGCTAGGCGACTGGTGGTACTCGGATGTTGCCATATCCTAAAAGTGGTACAATGGATGAAAAGGTTGAAAAGCCCTGGTCTAATGGATAAGTTATTGGACCAAGCCCAGGGAGACTTGGGTTTAGGTCATTATGCAGCCATGGAAGCTCACTAGATTTCTTTGGCTAGATTTCAGCCTAATTTGTCCCACAGTGTTATTGCAGTTCCATTCAGTTCCAAACTGTCTGCATTCAATAGATACCTGGGCCAGACCAATTTGATTATTGTACTTACTATTTGCTTGGAGATTTATACTAATAATTAGTCTAGAAAGGGATCTGTCTCTGGCAGAGGAATTTACCTACAGCTCCTATACCTTCATATTACTAATTCATCCAAACTGAATTCCCACTGGAAACATAGGGTGAGAGAGTAACCAGTCCATAGTTGCCACAAACTGGCCTGAGTGTAGGCACTGAAATTCCTCAGATAAGAAGCCTGAGATAGGGTTAGTCCCAGGATCAGCCAGCTCAGAAGAAAACAGAAGATAACCATGTCTATACAGCATGCAAACGCAGCAACACACACTTAAAGCAGACAAAATATTGCATTAATCCACATTGTGTATTAAAGTTATAGCCTTTTCTTCCTTCCAGAGCTCAGAGGGACTTAATCAGATTTAATAAAATTCCCCCTTATTTTATCCCAAAGGAATAATCCTGCTAGGTAAGTGGTGGGATGCAGGACCAACATTTTCTTCCAGATCATGTCCTACCTAGACCTTTAGAATAGAGGAGGATCAGGTGGTTTGTTAGGTGAGTGAAATCACTTTACCAGTCATCATGAGTCCTTGATTAGGCTGTCATCTGATGTGAGGTAAATTGGAATTTTCCTATTCTGGTCCCATATCTGCTTTTATTGATAATCCTCTATGGAGTTGCTCCCATATATTTCCCTCTCCTGAAAACATTGACATCTGGTCTCAATAGAGGCAGCAGCACAAGCCTGTGAAACTGGTGAGTTTAATGGTGATAGCCAAGGGACTCAACAATGACTTGTATTTTTAAAATAGAAAGTAGGAACTGCATCGTTTGCTTATACGTTTCACCTATGAGTGAAGCTCAAGTTCTGGCAATCAAGTTAGTATTTTTTTTAAGTCTTCCAATCAGCTGCTGCTGAAAGATTAGGGCATGCTTGTTTGTTTTCATTGACAAAAATTTGCATGAGAAAAGTCTCCCCCCTCCTTTTTAAAAAAAGATTTAAAACTATCTAGTAAATGGCCCAAACTCTTAATTCCTATTCATTTGCATGGAAAACATTTAAAGCTGAGCATAATTGCAATGAGGCTTAACATAGTAACATTTAAGTGGATTGCATCTTCAGGGATCTATTTTCTTTTGTCTATTTATTCAACTCTTCAACACATTGATAGAAGGGTTGGCTCAGGGAAGAGGCATCGCTTCCTAGATTAGCCTCTGCAATTGCAGAAGGTTTCTACCTCAAAATCAGAAATCGGAGTGGGCAGGATACAGTCCAAGCTGGCATGCTTTCCAAATTTTCATATTCATTTCCCAGAACTTAAAACTCAGTTTGGATAAAAGGAACAACTGAATTTAAAACACTGATCTTCATTGTAAACAGTTATTGTCAGAAATATTCCATTTTATAGGTAGCGGGGAACCAAATGGTATGAACCCAGGGGCTGCAATTCTTCACACATATATGGGAGTTGGTGATAGTGCAAATATGTCTTCTTTTTTGAAGAGTACTGGATGTTTTTGGAGCCA